CTGGCAGAAAACAATGAGCTCTCCCTCAGAGTTCAGGGCTGACAGTGGGGTGCAGGCAAAGAGGGAACTACCGCCCCCCCAGTAGCATCAGGCAATCTGGCCGACCCCCAGGTCGTCCTGCCATCACCTTTGCAGCTGAGAGATGCTTAACTTAATGAAATCCTCAAACCTGATGGGTCCTGGAGCATGGGGGGAGGGGGTGTGGTGCCCGAGGGAGGGGCAATTTGCCCCCATTGGGTGGCAGCCCCTTTCATGCATCAGACTCCAGGTATAATAAGCAATTTGTAGTTGAAAAACACACCAGACATTGGCACATGCTGTCTCCTCTCCTTGGGACATCAGTCCTGTTGTCCCACCCTGATTCTCACTCATCTGCCTGGAACCTGCCCCCGCCCTCACAGGTCACATCCCCTTTGCAATGTCTCTGGCAGACGTAGATGTCGTTCTCTTATCTTTCTCGTATCCAGGGCATTCCTGCGTCATGGCCATTGTTATTATTCATGTATTCATGTCGCCGTTAATAATACTAATAATCGCGGGCATTTATGGAATGTCTGTGATGGGCCCAGCGCCCATGACAGGTGATTTATATATTTTGTAACTCAGTCTTGGGGTGTGTGCACAGAAGGTGGGTAGGACTTCCCCAAAAGGACAGGAGGGAGCCCCAGGCAGAGGCCGTGGTATGGACAGAGACCAGATAAGGGGGAGAGGGAGTGACACAGCGTGATGGGTGAATGAAAAGAGTTCGATGGTGTTGGGTGGTGAAGAGAGTGGGGGCTGCGAGCATGAGGCAGGAGGGGCAGACAGGACTGGACCAGGCACAGCCCCTGGAATGCCCTTCTGAGAGCTGTGCACATTATCCTGAGGGCAATGGGCTGGTGGGGGGGAGAGGGGGGTATAGAGAATTTTAAGCAGAGAAGTGGTGTGAAATACCCCTCTGGCCACAGAGGTAGGACAGGGGACATTTAGCCTGCAGGACCATCCAAGGGAACAGCGGTGGTGGGGAGGAGGGGACAGTGGGAGGAACATTTAGGAGGTCATTGATTACAAGTGGGGGGGGGCCTCAGCGATGGGCCCGGAGGGGGGTGTTTTTGTGTGAGCTAATTGTCCAATGACTCTAGCTGATGTATATAAGCCCTTTAGAATGTCCTCCCTCATCCCTGCTACTAACTAGCTGGAGAACTGATGTCATGCCCCCCCCCACTTGAGACCTCCATTTCCTCCTCTGTAACAAGCACGTGTCATGTGGGTGATCCCCCAGGGCCCTCCTAGAACTGCAGGGCTGCCTGACATTCTCATCTTCCTCCACTTTCTCTGCAACCTTTTCTTACTTCATCCTGGCAAAAGACCCACCCCACCAAAGGGCTGTTGAGTAAAGGAGGGAGGGAATCGCATTAATGAATGAATGAATGAACAAACAAACGAATGAACCTTTTCCTCCCAGAATCCAGGTGTCTGTCCCACTTGAGTTTTGCCTTCTCTTCCCTGACCCGGGGAGTTTGGCCATGGCACATGGTTTTCTCTGTGACTGTCCATCTGCCCAGCTGTCTCTTTCTGACTCTCTTTCTCTCTCTCCCTCTCCCTCTCCCTCTCCCCCTCTTTCTCTGTGTCTCTGTCTTGTTGTGTCTCTGTCTCCCTCTATTTTCTATCTTTGTGTCTCTGTCTGTTCTGTCTCCTTATTTTGTTTCTATGTGTTTCTCTCTCCCTTTCTACTCCTTTTTGTCTTAACCATCCCTCTCTCCAGACATCTTCCTGTTTCTGTCCTTTGTATCCCTCTTCCCTTCTCCCTAGACTTATTGTCCATTCTCTGCCTCACTCCCCATCTTGGGGACCCCACAGCCCTGAGTCCAGGCTCAAGCTCTGTGGCCTGTCAGGTCCCAGAACCCGGATCTCTGAGTAGCGAGGGGCTGAGACGACAGCCCAAAGTCGGACAGGGCCCTTCTTAGCTGCCAGGTGCCCACAGATGGGGCAGGGGATTGATGAGGCAACCTCTCAGCCTGGCTGACACAAGACAGGAATTTCTGAGGACTGCCTCAAAACAAACCCCATTGTTCCTGGAGGACCACCAGTCTCCAGGGTGCCCATGTCCAGAGCCAGGAGTGGGCCTTTCCTGCCGTACGTAGTAAGCTCCAGGGCATGCAGAGATGTGGAGTCTCTGCCACTGCCTTCTCTGTGCCTCAGTTTCCCTTACTGCAAAATGCATAGGCAACTATAATATTGGGGAGTATGAGGAAGAGGAGAAAATCTGTCTTGTTCTTTCTGTGGCCTAAATCCACAAGGTCATTTCTACAAATTTTAGGACAATTGTCCAGCCCCTAGAGTTTGAGGGTCATGTGGGGACCCCAAATAAGCTGTATCTTTGTGACCCTTCAAAGTTAATGATTGAAGTGTTCCTTATTTACTATGTAAAGGAGGTGCTGGGTCCTGTGTCAGAGGACGGTGGAGATGGGCGCCCCCTGGTGGCGGAGCTCAGCAATTCCGCTCCGGCCCCAAGCTTGCATCTCTCATTCCTCTGCAGTTACCTAGAGTGGCCTCCTTAGGGGACAGTTGAACACCATCTGTTGTTTCTCAGGCAAGCTCGTTCTGTGTGGCTTCTCAAAGCCTGCTTTCCAGACATGGGACTCTTCTCTCCCTGGGAGACATTTCGCTAAATGCAATTTTCCTTACCTCCCTACATGTACAGGGCTCTCCACAGACTAACTCCCCAGGCAACCAAAATCTAGAATCCGGAGCAGATCTCTCCCAATGTTCAGAGTTTTTCTGTTTTGATCTTGATAAACACTGTGCTAAATTGACTCCATCGTGGAACAAAGAGAAGTGATTCTCACAACGCATGGAACCAATTTAAACTAGTTTGACTAATCTGTCATGTATCTATTTTTCTTCTCTGAGAATCTGCATGGGTGCTTGCATACCCCTTGCCTATGTTTTACCATTGCTGTGCTCATAGTGAAATGGATTTTGCTGAAGATAAAATGAAATCATAGATGAGAAGTCCTTTGTCCATGTCATGAAGAGCTCTACCAATGGAATGCATGACCACATGACATGAAATTGTTTCCAGTGCTGCCTTGTGGGTAAATGTTTGTGTCCCAAGCTCTCTCTCAAGTTCCCATACCCCATTCCTCATTGCCCTCAGGAAGCAATTTTTCCCAGGATACTGTGCTTCCTATGGGCCTCAAAGATTGTGAGTTAATGTTTTCTCATGGGTACCAGCCAGTGTTAATTTGCAAGGCTAGGCTAATCCTTTCAACTTAGCTTGGCAAGTCCCAGGATGGAATCTGACTGAGGAAATCACATTCCATTCCTGGCTCTTCTGCCTCATGGCCCTGCAAGGAGGGCTGCACCTCTCTGAACCCGGATGTTCGGGAACAGGAGGAGGTACCATGCTAGCCTCACCTTAATCCACATAAAAACCCAGAGCACAAAGCCTTTGAAACTCTTGTGAGTGGGCAGGGAGGGAAAAACTTACTCCAGGTTTGATGAGGCAGGATGAAGTCTCATCCCAGGATTTCACCTCAAGACTTGTTCTGCACTAGCTGCCATTTATTAAAATCTTACTGTGTGCCTCATTGATTTCTCATATCAGCCCTGTAAAGGAGAAGCTGCATGGTTCCATTTTACAGATGAGGAAACTGAGGTCCAAATTGATGACATGATGCCCAGGATCACTCATTGAGTTGAGAACAGAGTCAGTACCTTGAAAGACTAGTACAATAATATTTCGACTTGGCTTTCAAGATGCCATCCAAATGCCTTAGCTTTCGTGAGAATGGGAGGCTTAGATGGTGAAGAACACAGTCTTGGGTACCTGGATGGCTTGGGTTCGAATCTCAGCTCTGCCTCTCACTACTTCTGTAACTTGGGCAAGTTCGTTGATGTCTCTGTGCCTCAGTTTCCTTATCTTTAAAATCCCTCATAGGATTGTTGAGAGAATTGAGTTGCCTAATGTATGTAGAGGGCTCAGACCAGTGTCCAGCACAGAGTTGGTGCTATAGAAGCATTCCCCCATTCTCCAGCTACTCAGAACTTCTCTCAGTTACTCAGTTTTTGAAATGAAAACCTGATCAAGTCTCTCCTACCTCTTGCTTAAATCCTTTTTAGGGACTGCACATTCCTTCTGATCTAGGACTGAACTCTTCATCACATCACCCACAACCCTCTCCAGCCTCACACTGGAGGGTGTTTGCTCTCTGCTCTCACTTAGCAGTCACTCTGAGGTGGTACATCTCTTCCCACTGACCACAGGGCCTTTGTACTTGCTGTTCCAACCACCTAGCCCTTCTCTCTTGGGCTAGTAAATTCCTCCTCATCCTTCAGTTCTCAGTTTAAGCATTTCTTCCCCCAGAAAACCTTTCTGCGTGCCACCTGACCAGGTTAGTGATCTTGGCTAGGCTGGCTGGGCTGCTCAGCTCCAGACTCCAGGTTGAACCCACATCTATTTCATGTGTCTCATCTGAGACCAACAGCCCTCCATGGCATGTCCTCATAGTGATTGCAATAAGCACACAAGAGTGAACAGAAACATGTGGGGTACTTTGAGACTTTGGCAGAGACCCACCTCCACCCTTATTCCACTGGTCAAAGCAAGTCGGATGGCCGTGTTCAACATCAGTGGGGTGGAGATGTAGACTCCAACCAAAGAGGAATCAATTCTCCATCATCCAACACATCACTGTCAGGCCCCTCTCACGGCACCCAATCATGAATGCTTCTGTAGCACTAACCATGACAGTGACTTTACATTCATTTGCATCACTACTGGAATAATCTGACTCTCAGAAACGGTAAGACCCATGGAATTTTATGCAAATCACTTTACCCCCAGCTCCCAGCACAGTGCCTGGCACACAGTAGGTGCTCAATAAATATGCGAGTAAATGAAGTCGTTAATGAGTGAAGGCATGAGGACTCCTGAGGTGGCTCAGAAGGGGGTGCGGTGGACTTCTTGCCTCCCGCAATTTACCTGCCATGTTCCCCACCCCCTCGGTTGTGGGAAGGGTTTAAAGGTGAGAGGGACCACTGGCGCAGCGGGAGGACCATCTGCATCAAGACACACGAGAGCGGCCAGAAGGAGATCGAGGCCTTCGACGCTGCCATCCTGCTCATCCGTAACCCTTACAAGGCCCTCATGGCGGAGTTCAACCGCAAATACGGCGGCCACATCGGCTTCGCTGCGCATGCCCACTGGAAGGGCAAAGGTACTGTTTGGGAGAGGAGGGGCCGGGCCTTGGGTGGGGCCGGGGGCAGTGCTCTGGGCCAGCGCTGTTTTCGAGGAATTCAGGAACGCGTCCTTACAGGCATGTGTGTGAGGCTCCCGTTCCTCAGCTGATCGCCAGAGAGGTGCGCTTCCCACACCCCAGCATCAGCCTCTGGGAGCTGGGCTATTATGGTAGCACCAGTGGTAAAGAACAGAGGTTTTACAACAAGGCTGTGTGGGTTCAAACCCCAGCTCTGCCACTTCAGCTCCCTGAACTTAGATTGTGCTATCTATAAAGTAGGGGATAATGATTGTTGGGGTGGGGGGAGGGCTCTAAAAATTTAACCCTTTCAAGTCAGTAGATGTGATTCATTATGGAAATGGAGACCCTCCTATGGGATTGATTGAAGCAGGTTCAAAAGCCCTTTCCTGGAAGGGAGTCAGGAGACCTGAATCCAGCCCAACTCAAGGTCAGCAGCTGAGTGGCCCTGAGGTCACCTGTGAGGTCCCAAGAGATCACTTACAGAGCATCATTTTAATGAAAACCCTCAACAACTCTGGGTTGGGAGGCTCAGGGAGGTTAAGTGACTTGCCCCAGGTCACACAGCTGGGAAGTAACACTGATGGCCCCTGAGCACTGAACTTCATTAAGATGACCTGGGTTTGAGATTCAACTCTGACACTTATTAGTAGATAACTGCTGTGTGAATAAAAGTTTCAAGGAAGGGTGGCAGCCCAGGGCAGTGGTGAGAACTTTGGAGTCTGACCCAATTTCTGCCATTGGCCATCTTGGGTATGTTTAACCCCCCCCCCTGGGCCTCAAAAGCCCATGTCAATTATCACCATCACAAGAAACACCCATGAGTATCTTAAACACCCACAAATAACGCATTTTTTAAAAGATGGGACAAGCTAAGTTGAGGGGACAAGCTAAGTTCAGGAAGGTGAAGGAGTGTCTCCAGAAAGTGGTAGAGCTGGGGTTTGAACCCAGGGAGTCTTGCTCCAAAGCCCCTGCCCTTAACCACTGTGTTAACCCATGATAATGGAGTAGGTGAAACGTCAATGGATGTGAATCACCCAGCCCAGAGCCTCTGACACGCAGTAGGTGCTCTGTAACTGTGATCTCCTCCCAGCTCATCCAGCCTCAAGCCCAGCGGTCCCTCCTGCTCCTTTTAACCCTCCCCCTGGCTCCCAGCTACTCCAAAACCCCAGAGAGGACCTGAGCGTGGCAGGATGATGTTAATTCAGCGATCCACTAATCACACCCTCAACAGTGATGTCATTGATTAAAATTCTTGGCCTGCCTGACCAACTGGTCTCTGGTTTCCTTTCCCTCACGGAGGCCCATCTGTCCCTCCACTGCCTGGCTCTCCCTCTCTGAGGAGGTGGAAGTTGGACAGGTGGTGACATTTGCTCCCTGGTTCCCAGGAGTGAACAGGCCTCTGAATTATTTATTTGTAGAACAATCGACAGTGAACACGGGTCAGAGGCAGGCTGAGATGTCTGCAAATGCAAATGGCAGGAGCCAGTCCCGAGAGCAGAGACTATGCTTGTCGAGCTGGAAAGGACCTGGAAGATCCCTGAACCCAGTGGTCCTCAGCCCCGGCTGCACATCAGAATCCCCAGAGCAGTATGGGAAAATCCCAGGGCCCAGGCCATTTTCTGGACCATTACTGGAGTGGAGCCTGGGCATCAGTACTTTTTAAAGCTCCCAGCTGCTTCCACTGTACATGCAGGACTGAGAACCACTGATGAATCCCCTGTTTATTAATGGGGAAACGGGCCCATAAAGAGGCAGGAACCTGCCAAGGTCACTCGGGCACATAGTGGCAGGACTAGAACCCGGCCCTCCACTTCCCAGGCATCCTGCTGCCGCAAGTGAACAGGGAGGGTCTCTCTTGGGAAGTTCATGGGAGACCAGGCACTTAGCCTTTATTATTTCATTTAAACCTTCTAATTACCAAGCAGGTAAGGAAAGTATCCATCCATAATCATCCTAACATTCCATTTCACAGGTGAGAAAACCATCCCAGGAAGGGAGCAAGTCCCGTAGCTAAAGCCCCAGGTGGGATTCAAACCCAGGCATTAGCTACTCTCTCTTATCTGGGGGTGTCGCTGACCTCCTGATATATTCATTCAGTGGTTCTCCTCTCCTGGCATAGCCTCTTGTCTCATGTTCAGACAACTTTAATTCCCGGGAGCCGCCTTGCCTTTTTTTTTTCTTATTCAAGACAGCTGGGAGCTTTAAAACCCAAAGGTAAGGGAGGCGCCAAGACAGGCTGAGCCAAGAGGCTGCAGGGGATGGGAGCGAGGGGGCTCCAGCATAAGCATCTCATAGTGGGGGTCCCCACATGAGTCTGAGATGGGGGAGTGTGCTTCTCCCAGTGCCTCCTCCCAGACCTGACCCAGGTCTTCAAGCGCCCAGGCTGAGACAAGCCCCACCGTCTCCACCCGGCCCATTCCTCTCATTTTGTTAACATCTGGCCCCCCGTAGGCACTTCAGCTTGAGACCTTAGCTGTAGGGCCCCTGCACCAGCAATGTCAATATCCTTTGGGAACTGGTAGGAAATGCAAATTATCAGGCTCCACCCCAGACCTGATGACTCAGAAACTCTGGGGGGTGGGGGCGGGGAGGCAGGGCCCTGCCATCTGTGGTTGAGCAATCCCTCCGGTGTTTCTGCTGCACCCTTCATAGAACCACTCCTTTAAATCCTTGCAGTTCCAAGTGTGGCCTGTGGATCAGCAGCATTGGCTTCACCCGGGAGATTTTTAGAAAAGCAAATCTCAGCCCCCACCTCCCCATACCCCCAGGCTCTACTGGATAGTAATTAGCATTTTAACAAGATTCCCCCGGAAGCTTTGCGTGCGCTGGAAAGTTTGAGAACGGCTTTAGGAAGCCCTCAGCCTAGAATGTGAGGGTCGCCCCCCTCAGAGCAGAGGCCACCCAGCAGTTGAGCATGTCCACCCACCCTGCCCTGTCCTCTCCCAGTTATAGCGCCCCACCCGCGAGTTTTTGTTCCATCACGTTAATTTTACAATCTCCCTGGGGTGGGTCCAAAGCAAAGTTTTATGTGATATGATTACACAAGGTGAATTGTCCGGGATCTGTTTAATGAAACAAGAGACCGTGTTTAATGATTCCGTGGGGAATTAAGTTCAGTTAAGCTATTAATCAGACCCCAGTTCCTCCCAGGGGCAGGAAGATGGGAGCGAAGAGAGGCCAGCCCCATGCCCTGCCAGCCCCACGTGGGTGACAGTTCCGCTGGAACCAGCCCCCCCCCCTACTGGTGGTCCACAGCTCAGCTGCTTTTATTGCCCAATTTAAAGGCAGCAATCAATTACCGGAAATCCTGAGTTAACCGAGGGCTTTTGTTTTTCATTTTTATTCTTCTCCTTTCCAATGAAGTCATTGAAGAGCTTCAAGTGGGGAACCTGTGCTGCAGTGGGCAGGGGAGGAACATCAGCTGCTGAAACCCCCTGAGTATCAAATATGGTGTTGGAGGGAAGCTCTGATCAAAATGATGGGGCCTGCGGGGGGTCTTGGAGATGCTGGGGGTGGCCAGCATCAAGAATAATTGTAACGGGAGCTAACATGTATCAAGCACCTCCTGTATCCCAGGCCCTGTGCCAGGGTCTTTGCAAATCTGATTCCATTCCATCTGCACGGCCTCTGGAATGCAGGTCTTAGCACAGTCACCATTTTGCACATGGGCAACTGAGACTCAAGGAGATCGACTCATGTCCCCAAGGTCACACAGCAAATGGAGAGAGGGAGCTGGGTTTTGAACACTGGCAGTCTGACTCTAAAGCTATCTGGGAACAGACCCCAGGTCTTAGACAACACCCGGAGGTGACATGAGCCGTAATAGAGTAGGGTCTGGAGCGAGAAGAATGCCTGAGCTGATCGGCTCAGGAGCTCTCAAAGGGTTTGCTAGGAGGGCGGAAACCTGGCTCAGTCTGGGACAGACCGGGGTTCAAATGCTGCTTTGGATGCCCACTGTGTGACCGTCAGCAAGTGGCTTTATGCCTCTGAGCCCCCTTTCCCCTGTGTACAAAATGGGGCTAGTATAATAATTCCTCCTCTCCAGTCTTCTTGTGGGCACTGAATGAGATAATGCATGCCAAGTGCCCAATACAGCCCTGCTCAGGCAACAGATGTTCCCATCCCAGGGAGGTTTGCAGTCAGTCAACAGGATGCCGTGTCATCTCCATCCCCCCTGCATCTAAAGCTAGGGGGGACCCGGACCGCCATGTAGAAGGGTCCTTCCTTTTCTTTGAGGACCACCCAGCTACCACTTGAGATGGTCACTGAGTGTCTGAGTGCCATCTGCATGCACCTGGGCGTCTGCCTTGGGAAGAGCAATTGTCCTGAATCACCAGGGGTGCTGTGAGGTGACTCAGGAGTCGGGAAATTCTGAACAAGAAAAAAAATTTAAAAAGTAAAATAGACTATATGTATACACATGCTAAGTTTTTTCTAATCACCCAGATACATCTGGTCTTAAGCCATTATAACAGTATGGGCCCAATTAACCAGATAACATTGTAAATAATATATTTTAAGGATAAAAAATACCCTTGTCACCAGCATAAATATTTCCCAAGTAGCCATGGTGTTCCAGGGGGCCACTGGGAGAGCAGGAGCCCCACCGCAGATTCTGATGTGTTCTGCAAAGAAAGAGGAGTCCTTTATCACGTTGCAACGTGGCAGTTGGGAATTTCAATTTAGTTCAACAACCATTTATTGAGCCCCTGCTGGTGTAAGGCAGTGGGAAGAAGTGGTGGGGGAGGCTGCTGGTGCCTGGGGAAGATCAGGACCTGGAACCAGGCAGGCCTGGTCTGGATGGTGAGTCCTGGCTGTGTGGCCTTGGGCAAGTCACTTCACCTCTCTGAGCATCAGTTTCCTCACTGGTGATAAGTGAACCATAGTCCTTTCCCTTCAGGGTAGTCGTTAGGATTAAATGACATCATGGGTCCCCATTACCCAGCAAGGCATGAGGATTTAGTTATTAAGAACCAGCTGGGCTCCCCAGCCTAGCTTGGGGTGACTTACAGCCCCTCATTCAATAAACAAAGCCTGGAGGGTGTGAGAGGTGTTGTCCCCCTGTGAAAAGCAGAGGGTCTGGCTTCAGGGTTTCGGTGTGCCTGCCCTGTGATTTTCCAGCTGGGGCTCAGAATTAAGGCTGGAATCCCTTTCTCTGTCCCCACCATCCTCCCTGACACCCCCGTCTTCTCCCCCAGTAACCCTGCCTTTTAGGCTTCTTCTATCCAGTTTCAGCAGCCCCAGGGAGCCGGCTGGCTGTCTCATTGAGTTCCTCTCCAGGGCTCCCCGAGAAATTCTATTGTAGCCTGTCTTTCAAGTCAGAGGATCCCAAACACAACCCTCCCAATTTTGGTGACAATTCATCCTGTCATTTTACCATAGCAAGGTAACAAACAGCAGAAAGCAACAGTACGCGATTCTCCAATTCAAAGCAAAGAAAGAAAGGTAGAACACAAAGGTGGAAAGATGACAATAGAAATAATCTGACTTTACTATGCCCAGCCCACAGTATGTTGGGCAGTCAGATAACATACGTGGAGGGTACAGCGGAGGCTGTGAAGTCCAGAGGGGGGACCTGCCTGAGGCTGGGGAGTCAGGAAAGATAGCATCTTACCTGAGACCAGGGTACTAATGGTAATAATAGCCAGTGTATACAGAGCACCTACTGGGTACAGGGCACCATGGTAAAAACTTTATATGTTTTACCCACTTACTCTGTACAGTGGCCCTGTTATTATCCTATAAGCAGATACTATTACTACGACACAGGACAACTATTACTACACAGGATAATGTGGTAGTGAAAGCCCAGACTTTGAAGCCAGACTGTGCGGGTTCAAATCCTGGCTCTGCCAGTTATTAGCTGTGTGACCTTAAGCAAGTTACTTAACCTCTTAAGCCTCAATCTCCTCTTCTAGTAAATGAAAAAAATGGTGATACCTGCCTCATAGAGTTGTTGTGAGGCATAAGTGAATTAATAGCTATATTAATGTATTTCCTATAGTCTATATTAATACCGGGGGTGCCAAAAAATGTATACACATGACTTGTATTCATCTTTGATTATTGGTATATATTGAGTATTACAATTTTAATACCGTTTTTTCCTTTCTCAAAACGTGTATACATTTTTTGGGCACCCTGTATAAGTATACATTAAAATACAAAACGTTACTCTGAGCAACAGTGGTTCGAGTCCAGCCTGAGCTGAGCAGCCGCTGAGCTGCCAACAGGTAGCAGGATGGCTCAGCTAAAAAAAAACAAAAAAAAACACAAAACGTTAGTAACAAACATTTCTATATAAGGCTCTCTTTGGTGTAGTAAAGCGCCAAACAAATGCCATTGTTATCTTCAAAGAGAAGGAAAGGCTAAGGATATTCCAGGCAGAAGACGCAGCCCTGAGGCGGGAGGAATCAGGGGATCTGCAGATCTAAAAAGGACTTAATGGCGTCAAGGGATGCTGTGAAGGACCTGCAGCCACCACCAGCGCCGTCAGACCCGCGTCCCTCGAGCCCTCCGCCTCTGACTCTGCCGTCTCTCCTCTCTCCACAGAGTGGCCCGAGTTCGTGAGGAACTACGCCCCGTGGTGGGCCACGCACACGCTGGACTGGCTCAAGTTTGGCAAGAAAGTGCTCGTGGTCCATTTTGAGGACCTCAAGCAGGACCTGTTCGTCCAGCTGGGCCGGATGGTCAGCCTGCTGGGGGTGGCCGTCCGGGAGGACCGGCTGCTCTGCGTGGAGAGCCAGAAGGACGGTAATTTCAAGCGCTCGGGGCTCCGGAAGCTGGAGTACGACCCCTACACGGCAGACATGCAGAAAACCATCTCGGCCTACATCAAGATGGTGGACGCGGCCCTCAAAGGGAGGAACCTCACCGGCGTTCCTGACGACTACTACCCCAGATGATGTGTTGGGGTGCGGGGCTGGGAGTCCTGACCAAGCAGGAGACTCGAGACCCTGGGGACCCCTGCCGTCCGTCCGTCCTCTCTCTGGGAGGGGACAATCCCCTTGGCTGCTCTTGGCCTTCAATGAGTTTCCTGCATGACAAAGGAGGCTCGAGGGGAGAGATTGTCCAGGCACTCCCCACCTGCTCACTGCCCCCCCCCCGGTTGGAGATGGAAGAGGCTACTGATTTGGGGAGTCCCAGCCACATGGACCCTCTTCTGTCTCCCATGTCCCTGCCCCCACCACTCTGGGTTCCCCCTTGTGGGAGGGAGGGCTCATGGGTGTCTTGGAGACATGGGTGCCTCGCCGCAGGTGTTGAGAACCTTGACACGAGAGCTGAAGGGACTGTTGTAAAAAAGTAGCCCCAGACGCTCTACCCTCCTGGGCTGAGCTTTCATAGCCTCCCCTCCCCTTCTCCACCCAGGAAGCACTGGCACCAAGGTTCATCCAGGCCACTTGTTTGAAGATTGCTGGGAAGTTTCTCTGTAGCCTTAGGTTTCGGGCGTTCTGGGTGGGGTGGGGAAGCATTGGTGCTCGCAGTAGGTTCGTTGTCACCGCCTCACGGGGTCCCTGGCATCATGAGCCCACCCCCAGGTCACATTGCTCCTGAGAATCAATCCGGTTGCCCGTCCACTTCTAGGGCTGGAATTCTGCCCTTTTCTTCCCCTGCTGTATCCAGGAGGTAACCGTGGGATCACTTCCAGGGTTCCTCAGACACCAACAGTTACGCCATGTGCAGAATCTGAGTAAGAAGGAGCGCCCCAATAACACATCTCTCCATTGTGGGGTCCGACATGGGTCTTACACTGCCCTCTGACCCCTACCTGTCCAGGTGAGAGAGCAAGGGTGCCCCAAATCAGGTGGAACCAAACCCAAAAGAGACCCCCGACACACACACACCCCTTTCCTTGATCATAGCCCAACGGAGCCAGCTTCCCTTGGGGGCCCTTTAAGGAGTGAAATGAATGGGATGGCCTTTCATTTCCATGCAAATGCTGCTCCCTTGATGCTGAGACATCAAACCAAAGGATTCCTGAGGACCTGAATCTCTGATGATGGATCTTAGAAAGCATTGATCCAGGATCCCATGGCTTCCCCCACCTGGGAGACCAGTGGCCTCACCCCCAGCCCTCACCTGTGCTCCCGTACCAATCTCCACCATGTAGATGCAAAAGCCATAGGTCACAGCTCTTTACTATTCTGTCAGGAGCAGCCCCCACCCCAAGCAGCCCCTCTGAAGCCTTGGGGTGCAGGTACATGCTGGTTCCCAAATAGCCAAGAGACTATGGAGAAGGCGAGTGTAAAGAGATATATTTTTTTAAGAGGAATATGACTAATACATTCCGCCCCTTGGGACCTGGCCATGCAGGGAAGAGCCTCTGTGGTTCTCTCCCTGATCTCCTCATGTGTAGGATCTGGGCCACCCCAGGGCCCAGCCAGGGGGCTCTGAATGTATTTTGTACCATGTTTCTTTCCCCCAGGCTGATTTCTAGTCTTCTTTCTCAAAGCAGTAGAGGGCTTGGCCTCCCCTCCCACTCAGAGGTCGGCTCTCTCCGGGAGCCTCTTGGTCCAAGGCCTGGGCCAGTTCTTTGCTGGTGGGCCCCTTGGGCCACAAGCCTCTGTCTGATGATTCCTCAGGTCAACACCATCATTAAAAGTGAGTTTTGTTGATAATTCTACCACGTGGTTGAGTGTTTTATCAGGCGAATTCACAAATGGGATGTTTTTCTGGGGTGTGTGTATGTGTGTGTGTGTAGAAGACAGAGAATTTCTGGGGTGCTTAATTGCTTTTGTGTTTGTAACTGCCTGTGAAGCATTGTGTACCTCTGTGTGTAAAATCTTCTCTGTCTTCAACTGCCCTTCTGTGTCTTGAGACTGTACCCGCTCCCCCACCCCCCTACTGGCATGGGGGGTACATTTCTAATGTGTCGGTGTGTGTTCCTGTGTGTGGAATTGTGCACATGTGGAGGAGGAGATGGCCGGTGGCTGGTGTGTATAAACCCCACGCATGAGAAGGCGCCTGTCTGTTGTGGAGGGATGTCTTGTATGCCTTTGTCCTTGGCAATTTGTGTGTGTGTGTGTGTGTGTGTGTGTGTGTGTGTGTGTGTGTGTGGCACAGAGTCCCTGAGTGTGGTGCTGTGCACACACATATGCAGAATGACAGCCGGTGAGAGGTCAAGGGGACAGAGAAGGCCCCTCTGTTCCCTGGTGGGTGGAGTGAGTCTTAGTTTCCAAACCTCCAAATCCCCCTGCAGGAAGGCCCTGTGTCCTCTCTGCTCACACGACAGTGGGGCTTCTGTGGTGCCTCAGGGACTGTTCTTGGCCTAAGGGAGGGGCAAGGGTTTACATGCTGCCCTGTAGACAGTAAGGGGAGGAAGGGTGGTAAACAGCTGGTACCGGCAGAGGAAGGGAAGGGAGGGGCTTCTCCCCACCCAAGGACAGAGCTCAGGAGGACCAGGAGGCCGGGAGGTCTTTTCCTCCAGTTGAGGGTCTACTAAAGTAGGGAAGGGAAAGGAAGAGCTGAGAAAGGGGAGAGTGTGAGGTTGCTCCAGGCTGAACTCCGACCCCCAGCCTCAAGCCAAGTCTGACCCTGTCACAGACCGAGCCCCAATCCTAGAGCCTTGAGCCTGTGTCACAGCTGAGCCCTAACCCTCACCTCAGACTGAACCTTGATCCTGGACATATACTTATCCATAATCCTGGCCTCACACTGATTCCTGATCTCAACCCCATATTGAACCTGGACCCCGGCCAGAGTCCCAAATCTGACCCTCTCTATACTGAGTCTGGACCTACCTGGTCATTGACTATATTCCAACCTGGGTCACAGGCTGAGCCCTGACCTGCCCAGAACAAATGCTGATAGCGTCTCCCGCCTGAGCCCAAATCTCTGCCACAGACTGAGCTCTGATTCTGGCCACAGACTAAGTCCAAGTCCTGACCCTGGAAGAGTCCTGACCTTGGCCTCAGCCTGAACCCTTGCCGGACCTCAGGTCAAGTCTTGACTCTGATCTCAAGCTGAGCCGTGAACCAATGTGCCAATTTCCGTTCACTTCTCCAAATATTGGGCTGTTGAAAAAGAATTGACACATTTTTGCGATGAAAAGCATAGAAAAAATACGTCATGACTTTTCCGACAACCCAATATCTTTCTAACCAAACCCTCCCTGACCGGAAGTGAGGAGAGCCATGGAGCCAAACTCCCCTGGACCCTCCTCCTTGGCTCTCACAGCCTCTGCCATAGCCTCCTTCTCACCACCCATCTGACATCCCTTTAGACCAGAGGTTGGACTTAGATGGACGGACAGTTCAGCAGCCTCTTCTTTGGCCTATCTCGGCCTTTTGTAATCACACTTCAGCCAACCTCCTGAATCAAATCTTTAGATTTCAGACCCAGGAGAAACCAAGGTAGCATTTATTCATTCATTCAAAGTAGCATTCATGCATTTGCTCTTTCATTTCCTCAACAATTTTTATTGAGCATCTACTGTGTGCCAGGCACTGCTCCAAGTCCTAAAGACTGAAAAAGGAACAAAGCAGACGAAACTCCCCATCCCTGCAGAGTTTGCATTTTACCAAGCACTGAGCAGATACCTGTAAGTGATCAGAAAGCTTCTGGGGAGATGATGGTGGGGCAAAGAAAGAAAGGGACTTGGGTGGCCCCTGACCAATCCCAGGAGGTTAGTAACTCCTTTCAGCAGGGACACTGATTCCCAGAGACTCGTGCTGACTGGTCTGAGTCACACAGAGGTTAATAGCAGACTGGGGCTGGCTGGTACCCTCCAAAAAGTCCCGTCCACACACATAGAGGGACAGCGCCCTTGCATTTGAGGAGGAAGGAAAGCTTTGGGTCCCAGTGCTGGGGACATGCCCGGCTGGCGTGGAAGCCGGGACCCCTGGGCTCTCATCTGCTGTTGCCCACAGAGCGCTGTGGCTCCAGGACGCGAAGAGAAGAGGCAGGGCCTAGGTTTTCCTCCCGATTTCCCCAGTGACCCAGCAGGCTGCTGCCAACGCATTCCCAGTTGGCAATGTGGGAGGGGGAGAAGAAGC